TTCCTCTAGGTTTTCCAGTTTGTCAGTGTATAGTTATTCATAATATTCTCTGATAATCTCTTGTATTTCTGTAGTATCAGTTGTAATGTTTCCTTTTCATTTCTGATGTTGTTTATTTGGGTCTTCTCTCTTCTTGGTTAGTCTAGCTAGCAGTTTATCAAATTTTCAAAATCTTTTTGGAAAACCAACCTGGTGTTTCATTGGTCCTTTGTAGTGTTTATTCTTTTATTTCAGAATATCAATAAGGGAGACATGTTTTGGATACATGGCTTAAGTCAGGGCTATAAATGTGCCCATCATCCAAATATTATTCATTGTACCTGTTAGGTGGGGTTTTTCTGCTCCCTTCCTCCCCTCTCCCCTCCTCCCCTCTCCTCCGCTGCTTGATTTCTACTGACTTTTATTTCCCTCTGTGAATTTGTGTGTTCATTGGTTAGTTCCAATTTATTAGAAAGTACCTGTGGTGTTTCTTTTTCCATTCATGAGATACTTCGCTTGGGATAGTTCCATCCAAATTGCTGCAAAAGGCATTAATTCATCCTTCTTGATGGCTCAGTAGTACTCCATGGTATACATATACCATATTTTGTTAATCCAGTCATGAGCTGATGGGCACTTGGGTTGATTCCACATCTTTGCAATTGTGAATTGTACTGCAATAAACATTTGAGCGCAGGTATCTTTTTGATAAAATGACTTCCTTTCCTTTGGATAGATATCTAGTAGTGGGATTGCTGGATCGAATGGTAGGTCTACTTTTAGTTCCTTTAGAAATCTCCATACTGTTTTCCATGGGGGTTGAACTAATTTAAAGTCCCATCAACAGTGTATAAGCATTCCTCTCTCTCTACATCCATGCCAGTATCTATTGTTTTGGGACTTTTCAATAAAAACCATTCTAACTTGGGTAAGATGATATCTCATTGTGGTTTTAATTTGCATTTCCCTGATGATTAGTGATGTTGAGCTTTTTTAAATATGTTTGTTAGCTATTTGTCTATCTCCTTTTGAAAAACTTCTATTTATGTCTTTTGTCCACTTTTTAATGGGCTTGTTAGTTTTGTTCTTCCTGACTAATTTGAACTCTGTATATTCCAGATATTGACCCTTTCTTGGATGTATAGCATGCAGATATTTTCTTCCATTCTGTAGGTTGTCTATTTGCTCTGTTGAGTATTTCCTTAGCT